CCCCTCCCCTCCCCTCCCCTTTTCTCTCTCTACCCCTTCTACTGTAAATCATTTCTTCCACTGAAATGGGAATCATAATAATCCCTGCCTCACATGGCTACCGTGAGTTAATTTCTATAAAGTTCTTAGGCTAGATTCAGTGCTCAGTAAACTGTAGACTGTTACATTGTGACAGTGGGTGTCTTTGGAGCCTCCAAGAGGTTAGTCTCTCCCTAAAACAAAACTTCTGATGCTCTCTCTTTATTTTTGCAGTAAAATCCTGCATCCAGACACTAGTAATTAGAAATGGGTCTCATCTGCAATAAAAGCACAGCTGACTGATTTGTGCCCTGGCAGAAAAAAAATGTTTGACTAAGAAAATTTATAGCATAGGCCCAAGGAGGGGAAAGTCTGTGGCTTCAGGAACTTTTTGGGGGGGAGATGGAGTACTGGGGATTGAACTCAGGGGCACTTGACCACTGAGCCCCAGCCCTATTTTATATTTTATTTAGAGGCAGGGTCTCACTTTTGCTGAGGCTGGCTTTGAACTCACGATCCTCTGATCCTCCTGCCTCAGCTTCCAGAGCCACTGGGATGACAGGTGTGCACCACCATGCCTGACTGGCTTTAGGAACTTGTGACTGGACCTTACACTGAAATACTTGCTCCCCCCAACACCTCCTCCTAGTCCAGTCCCCCGCTGTGGGGTTGTTGGGGATCAGATGTTAACTTAGTTAGTCACTCTAAGTCCCTGGGGGGGAAATGACCCTTTAAAAAGAATCCAGGATGTAGGCTTTTAATTAATTCAAGATGGTAAGCCACAAATAAGGATGGACTCCCCAAGATTTCTTCTACCTAGTTGTTCCCTGGACAGTGCCTGGACACTGCACCACTCTGGCCACGGGGTCCGGTTCTCCCCAGAGCCCTCTATAGCCACTGCAGTGGACTGTCCCCAGAAATAGACAAGCCAACTCACAGCCCTAAGGGCAGAGCAGCTCAGGTCAGAAGTTCCAGACCAGAGTTCCAGTCAAATGGAACTCTTTCCTCCAATCAATGTTAAGCTAATCTTAATATAATTTAAAAATGCAAATATAAAATGTATTTGTTCCATATTTTAGAAGACAGTTGTGGGCTGGGGCTGGGGCTCACTGGTAGAGCACTTGTCCAACATGATCAAGGCCCGGGTTTGGTCTTCAGCATGGCAAAAAAAAAAAAAAAAAAAAAAAAAAAGTTGAGAGAAATTTTATTTATTTTCCACTGGTGTGTTGGCGTCACATCATCAAGACAGGTGTCTCTGGAGATGAGGTAGTGCAGGTGCCCCCTCATAGATGAAAAAACAGGCTGGGGTTGGGGGTGGGTTGCAATTTGCCCGGTTACTGTCCCCCACACTGTCCTGTGAGAGCAGCCTAGTGATGATCTGTGGGGGTTTATTGATATGTTAGGTAATCAATYATGGTTTCTATTTGATTTTTATTCTCTATAGAAAAAGAAATCCCTCCTCCATTTTGTAATGTGCTAAAAATGTGTCTGTTTCAAAATTTTTTGGTTTTTTTTTTTATTAGTGGCACGTGACAATACAATGATCTTGACATATCCTACATTTGAATCAAATGGGGTATAATTTCTCATTTTTCTGAGTGTTCAAGGAAGGGCAGCAGAATAAAATAAATACTAGTATTGCTGTATGTATATACGTGTCTGTATAACCAATGTGATTCTGCAACCTGTTTCAACGTTTGATACCTTCTGATATTTCTTCTGCATAGAATCGTAGAGATCATTTGGTGTCAGGGGAAGAAACCTTGAAGGTCATCTCCTTCCAAACTTCCTTTCACAGAGGAGGAGCCCAGGACGAGAGGGTGGCAAGGACTCACCCAGCATCTCAGGGGCGTGGGGATGGGCCAGAATCAGCTTCCACAGCTGGGCCTGTTCCAGCAGGCAGCCTCTCTGGCCCAGCCCCTGCAGCCCTAAGGGCAGAGCCGCTCAGATCAGAAGTATCTGTCCACTCCTGCCTGGGCCCCAGGGAGTGGGGCCAAGGTGCCGTGTTGGGGGCAGGTTCCATGGCTACGCCTGGCCRGCCTCTCTGGGGCTGACCTACCCTACAACCCAAGCCAGCTGCGACTGCCACAGAGCCGCCCCTTCCCAGCAGGCAGGGGACCTTGGCTTCTCCCTCCAGGGACCGGAGCTCAGCTCCCTACCTTGCAGGGTGGAGCAAGGAGCTACTTATAGCTCTGTTATCATGTTCCTGTTTTAATACCAACAAACAGCTGTAGCCTGGGGAAGAGACTTATTAAGAGCCTGTGGCTTGCTTTCTGGCTGCYCTTCGGGGTTTGAGTGAAGTGACAGCTCTTCCCTCATCCTCTCCCCTTGCCTTCTGCTTTCTTCTCTCCCTCCGTCTCTGAGGCCCCTGGACATTTTTGAAGTCCCGTTCTGTGGAACATTTGGGCTGGRAAGACCTAGAGACTCCCTGCTCTCAGGACCTGGTGGTCAGAGACCAGTCCGACSGACCACCCTCTGCTGGAAAGGCTGGAGCCAGAGCCAGCCCCCCACAGACTTGCTCCCCACACAGGGCCTCAGCCCCCCCCAGCCCCTGAAGGCCCTGAGGGGCTTCTCAGAGAACAGCTCCAATGAGAAGCAGGTGTCCTACCTGGCTGAGGCCCTGAGCCACACACCAAAAGGCCTCAGGCCATTGGGTCTGCGTGGGTGAGGAGAGCTGGGCAGTTAGCTTTCTCAGCTCCCAACCTCCTACATGCCCTAGGGTCACTTTGTCCGTCTGGCTTTGTTTCTGTCAGGGACTGGGCTAGGGTCGAAGCTGGAGGTAGAAGTTGAGCTTTACTCATGTCTGGGTCCATGGAGTAGAGACCAGAGACTGAAGGAGCAAGCAAAGCCTGAAGGTAGAGAGGCCAGCAAGGATAAGCCCTGGGGATTCTGAGAAGCCTTGGGGAGGGCTTCAGGGACAGGGAGACCCCAACTGATGTTGGGGTAATCCTATTTACAAAGTTAAAACTACAAAAGCAAAGCTGGGATCACACATACATGCGTGCTCTTGTTGAACTTGCCTTTTTAAAAAATTTAACAGTAACATATCGAGAACATGTCCCATGACTAACTGTCATATTTAATAGCTGCCGTGGGCACCAGTTGTCTCCCAGTTTTACAAATGCACGCCTTATGTTCTTATTAAGAGCCGTTTCTGTCTGGATGGTTGTGGGCATTGCAGGGTGAAGTGGGCAGGGTCACCCTAGCCTGCCATGGGTTAATGAAGCAGGAATTGAGAATGAGAAATGGACTCAGGGGCAAGCTCAGACTGGCAGGATCAGAAATGGGCCAGGACTGAGTTAGCACAAGCAGTTGGGGCAGGGAGCAGGCAGAGGGCTGGTGAACAGGCACACAGGGGGCAGGGGGGTCAGGGGGCAGAGAGGCCTCTGGTGGCAGGGTATCTCAGCTCAGAAGTCCTGTACTGCCTTTTAGTGGGAGATCTGAGCAACCAGGTCCTAGGAGGTTTGAGACAGGCCTCAAAGCTTAGCTCATCAGCTGGAATCTGGTTCTTTGCAGAAAGCCACGGCGTACCATCAGCAGTGTTGCTTGCCGAGTCGTAAGCCTCTAAAGTAGAACCTGGGATGGTGGTGGAATCTCTAGGTCTACTTGAATACTTTCTGGTGGTAGGAAACTCACTACCTCCTGGTGAGGCAGGCATCCCATCTGGAGAGGGTTCTGTTGGATAACTTCAAAGCTTTTTCTAATGCTTCATACACTAGATCCTGGAGGCTAGGGGTATAGCTCAGTTGGTARAGTGCTTGCCTTGCATGCACAAGGCCCTGGGTTCACACCCCAGCACCAAAACCAGAAAACAAACATATACACTAGATCCTACCTACGATTCTGTGTTATTCTCCCAGGCTCCGAACAATGATGATACCACTTGGGCAGGTGCTGGGGAAATAGTCGGTGGTGAAGCTTGAAAACCAGCAAGGGACAATCTGCTTGCATTTATGATCCATAACCTTTGAATAGGCACAGGCCCAACATGAATTTGCCTTGTTCTGGGACTACACCAAGTCAGCAGGATCCCTCCTCTTCATGGCTGATTAGTGGTGGCTGACAGCTAGCACCCCACAGCTGACCAAAGACACATGAGGGTTCCCAGCTCAGACCAACAGAACCACCCAGAGGAGAGCTAAGCCCCRCTCAAAGTGCCAACCCACAGAATCCAAGCTAAGTAAATGGTTCTTATTTAAACCACCACGTTTTGGGGTCGTTTGTTATGCAGCAAAAGCTAACTGCTCAGAATTCCCCAGAGGGCCCATTTCACTTCCCTTCACACCAGGCCACATCCAACCCTGGCTGGCCACCGGGAAGAGGGAGCAAAGGATGCCAAGTGAGGGGGACTGGAGAACCTGTCAACCCCTCACCGCTGTTCCCATGGCAGTTGACAAGCAAGGCCCTTGGCTGATGGCACCAGTGTCATCTTAGCGTGTGCCAGACTGAAACCTCTGAGGACAGGTCCCTGAGCGTCTGTCTGGGAG